GAACCACCTCTATCAGAGACTCAACTTCTTTCTGTAAGGTAAAAAGTGAACTATTTTACAGCAGTATGACGAAAACCTATGCATTTTGACTTTGACAACATAATAGTATGTTTCATAGCCATTCTAGTAGGTTCAGTTGTTAGCCAAAACTTGAACTGGTCAATCAATCAATCAAACAAGTCTTGGGAGGCAAATTGTATTAAAATCCAAAAATATAATGCATTCAATCTCTGTGCATTTGTTACTGTCTACATTAAAAAAGGTCACAAATCTTCCTTAGGGAGTCTGTAACAGACAGGAATCATAATGGTCTTCTAGTCTTTCAAAGCAACAGATCCATCCATGCTGTTTCCCAGCCCTCCACCTGGATGTGGCTCACAGATTGAATGCTACATCATTCCTTTTAAACAAGCACATCACACCTCAATTTGTTGCAATCACACCGATAAACGGAGTTACTGGTGAGATCAATTTCTGCACCTCGAGTGAAGCTATCAAGCAGCGTCTCTGACACTGTGTTCACAGCAGCTTTAGAGGTGCGAGGTACTTGATAACCTCACTCTTAGGCAATAAGATTAGCATAAAGTCCTCTCTGATTAAATATGATATCAGTTTCTTTACACGTACTTTGCGAGTCTCCCTCAGAGCAACATAATTATCACCTCCGAGGCGTTGGATGTTATGAAACACATCTGCAGGAAACGTCTCCTTCAAGCAGCATCCACTGCACGCTATTGGAATGTCAGAGTCTCTCTTCACTGCCAAATCATATATTCTTGATGTGATATTTCCTAATTTTATCTGATTAAATATATCACAGACATCCAGAGCAACTGCTTCAGCATTAGCACTCACTACCTTCCCACAGAAGTAGCATCTAGTTGTTCCCACGGCATTAAACACGACAAGCTCAATTCAACCAACAAACTCTAAACAATATCTACACAAAGCTACCCCTAATATCTGCACGGCTTTCCACTTGTCATACCAATAGTGCACATCTTTTATTTTATTATATTTGATTGTTACAGGTACAGTGGCGCAAAAAAGTATTTAGTCAGCCACCAATTGTGCAAGTTCTCCCACTTAAAAAGATGAGAGAGGCCTGTAATCCTAGGTATACCTCAACTATGAGAGACAAAATGAGAAAAAAAAATCCAGAAAATCACATTGTCTGATTTTTAAAGAATTTATTTGCAAATTATGGTTGAAAATAAGTATTTGGTCACCTACAAACAAACAAGATTTCTGGCTCTCACAGACCTGTAATTTCTTCTTTAAGAGCCTCCTCTGTCCTTCACTTGTTAACTGTATTAATGGCACCTGTTTGAACTCGTTATCAGTATAAAAGACATCTGTCCACAACCTCAAACAGTCACACTCCAAACTCCACTATGGCCAAGACCAAAGAGCTGTCAAAGGACACCAGAAACAAAATTGTAGACCTGCACCAGGCTGGGAAGACTGAATCTGCAATAGGTAAGCAGCTTGGTGTGAAGAAATCAACTGTGGGAGCAATTATTAGAAAATAGAAGACATACAAGACCACTGATAATCTCCCTCGATCTGGGGCTCCACGCAAGATCTCANAGGACTCGAGCAGCGGTGTTCTGAATCAGCTGCAGCTTTCTAATAGATTTTTTAGTGAGACCTGTGAAGACACCATTGCAGTAGTCCAGTCTACTGAAGATAAAAGCATGGACACGTTTTTCCAAATCCTGCTGTGACATTAGTCTTTTAATCCTAGATATGTTCTTTAGGTGATAGTAAGCTGATTTAGTAACTGTTTTAATGTGACTGTTGAAACCAATAACTAATTTAACCCGCTGACAAGAGAGCCCACCTCCGAAGATCGTGACTGGCTGAGGGACAGACTCGGGGGCAGGTTCTCAGGAATTTCTTGGCTTCTCTCCCCCGAGCCAGAAGAGGAACACTACAGCTTGGAAACACTTACTGTTCCTGAAATGATCAAATCTGTTGGGCATCAGGGACCTGAGGCAATTGTGGCAAGCATGGCATTGTCTGAAGAGCAACAGAGGGCAATTCAGGTGGCTACCACTGGTCAGCGAACCAACCCAAACTGGCATTTGTTCAGGAAAGGAAGGTTGACTGCCAGCAACTTTGGAGCTGTCCTGAGGTCAAAGCGTGTGACTGCTTCCTTTATATAAGATAGGCAGGTACTTGCTTTCAAGCAGAACACAGGGGAAAACAGATTTAGCGGGAGTGTTTACGTGTTCGGCGTATTGACGTACAACGGCCTCGACAATTTCTGTAGTCCTATTCAGCCATTCGGTAACAACCATCGTTTTTCAGACACGTAAACTCTTCAAAAATCCCCAGTGGGGTCACTGCTGATGTATTTAATGTCGTAGAACAAAACGTGATTTATCTCTTAAATTTGTGTCAACCACAGACCTTATTTCGAGCTATTTTCCAAAACCCTATGGAAAAAATGCATTGCTTTTTGAGGAAGGAACCGGAAGTGCTAAAAATGCTAACTTACTTCCGGGTTTTATGACGCGTCACTGCGGTTCTGTCACGACCAGCTCATTTCTAGGATCCGGGTTAATGATCCGGATGAATCAGGACTCGCCCATCTCTAACAAAGGGTATATAACAAAGTATTGAGATTAACTTTTGTTATTGACCAAATACTTATTTTCCACCACAATTTGCAAATAAATTCTTTAAAAATCAGACAGTGATTTTCTGGATTTTCTTTTCTCATTTTCTCTCTCATAGTTGAGGTATACCTAGGATGAAAATTACAGGCCTCTCTCATCTTTTTAAGTGGAAGAACTTGCACAATTGGTGGCTGACTAAATACTTTTTTGCCCCAATGTATAACTATATTTTTTCAATATTTCATGTAAATATTGCTATATTTTATTGTTATATTGGTTTCCTTAAATTATTTATAATTATTTTTTCTGTTGGTCCTTTTCTTACAATTTATATTCTTTGACTGTGTTTATGTATGCACCAAGGTAAATTCCTCGTATATGTTAACCTTCTTTGCATTAAAAATGCTTCTCAAGAAAAAATTGTCCTACGATCTGCTTTTAAATAATAAATATCTCCCTTCTTGCAACTTTTCAGTATTGTCACTCTCACACGTCACACATCAGCTCAACTCAGACCCAAAAAGACATTGTCTCAGTGCGGATATTTCTCCTGTACAAATAAATTCCTCAAATCTGCCGGACATACTGTGCATGTCATCTGTTGTTGTTGTTGTGTTCCCTGTCTTCAGCACACTCTCCCCAGCACTGCTGATCTGGTCCTTAAGCGGCTCGCCCTGAGGGTGTCAGCACTCACAGCGGGCTCTGATCTGCAGTCAGCCAAAGAGCCGGACACTGAGGGGGGCGAGGCTCCAGCAAGAGAGGAGGAGCGTGCATCTCAGACATCAAGCTAGGAGAGACAGTGCCTTTGTTTCCATGAGTAAGTCCTGAAGACTCAGAATGGAGTTATTTACAGGTGGAGCATGAAGGATTTTGTGCATTCCTAAACACTTACTTTTAGTTGTGTGGACAGGAACCAGCCATCACATTAAGCACCCAGAACAGTAAGGCACTGTTTTGTGGTTGAAAGCTGGCTGTAGGGGACGGTAAAACAAACTGATTGAAGAGCCCACATTAAGGTGTGAGGTGAGGTAAACTGTGTACAGTCGTTTGCAGATAATAAATCACAGTTGGTTCTACACACTCACTGCTTTTGTTGTTTCTTTGGTATTTCTTGCTTGTGTTGTTATTGTGTTTCTTCCTTTGTGTAATCCACATGTGTCCAACTCATGGCCTGCAGGCAGGTGATGTATACACCTGTCCATATTGGTTATATGTTCTATCGTGTACTCATTTAAACAAAGTATGAATCTTCATCTATACTAGTGTATAATGTAATCATATTTATACTACCGTCTATAGTGTCTAACTATCTATATTTCGAATACCTCTATAGTGTATTGAATATATATATATTAATACTGTTCATACTGTATACTTTAGCTTTTAATATTTGTCATATTTATTTAATACATATATATTACACTGCACTTTAATTATTGTCTTGCTCTTCTGATGCTAACAGTGTTGGTGAAAGTACTAATATATTTTTATTGAAGTACAAGTAGCAATACAAAAAAATCCAGCTTTCAAAATCTTACCTAAGTAAAAGGTATTCAATCAGAATTCATAAGTATCAAAAGAAAAAGTGCTAATTTTGTATTATGGCCCAGTTCAGAATCATATATATATATTTTATTACTGTATTATAAATATTGTTGCATTCATTTGTTCATCACATGTGTTAAAAGTGAAGCTCATTTGAATGACTTTTTTGTATTGTTGATTTAATAACATTAGTCAGTAAAGTCTTCAAAGCTCTCAGATAAATGTAAACAGTACAATATTGGCTTCCAAAATGAAACAGGAGTATGAAGTATAATACAATTGAAATACATGGGTAAAGTAAAGGTACCTCAAAATTAAGCACGTTAATTGAGTAAATGTATTAGTTACATTCCACTACTGGGTGCTAACTAGATTTAGTTGTCCCAGTACTTGTAATGCAATGATGAAATGAGAATAAAGTTGAATCTATTCTAACACTGAACATAAGGTCAGATGACATTTTACCAGTGCTCAGTAAAACATAATCACTAAGGTTCCACTGCTGTTCTCACTGCAGCTGATCAGTTCTGTTTTGAGGGTCAGAAAAAAAGTAAAATCAATAAAAAAAAAGAATAAATGCTGAATAAAGATGTTGGTAAACTATATAAATGATAATTGTATAGAGATAAATGGAAGAGCAGTAGCTTCAGATCGGATCTCACGGCCTGTGTTTCTGCCGGCCAGTGGCACTGTTCCTCCGCAGCTCTCCCCCCGTTTCTCCCCTCTTGCACTACAAAGGCAACAATAACAACAGCTGCACTTATCACAGGACTTCACTGAAACATGACGTGCAGATGACTTAGAAAAGCTCTGTTCCAGACCTAGCCTGTGTGAAGCTGTTGCACTTGTTTTAACGGCTGATCGCCTCTGAAACTGCTTTATTTGAAGCGCGGGCTTTTTTTGCGCGTCAACAATGAGCAGCATGGAGCGGCGGTGTGCGCGTTAAACATTTCACTCATTGGGATTTTTATATTTAGCTTTGTGCGGGACGCGCTGCAGCGGAAAGAGGAGACCAGACCCCGGTGTTGCTGTCTGTCATTTTCATCAATTTTTTCATTTTCGATCCCAGAAAAAAACTTGTTGTTCACACCGCGGTGCGCGCTGTGAGGCTATGTGGTGGTGAGGCTCCGTGTGTGTGCACATATATATCTACAGATCCGGGGGGAGAACATGATGATGATGGCTGGTGGTGTCGGAGCAGCTGTGGACCATAACGGGATTTACTCCAACCCAAACCTCCACAGCCTGCAGCAGACCGAGGCTGATAACCCGGACTCCCGCAAGCGACCGCTGGAGACTCCGCTGGAGGAGGCCGGCTGCACCAAGCGCACCAACACAGGAGGTAAGAGACACACAGAGCAAGAAGCAGCACCGTGTCCCCTCCACACCAACTCAGATGGTGTTGTTGTAGAAGCCTTTGCACGCACTGGTGCAAGTAGCTGCCGTCAATATGAGCATGCAGAGAAACTCCATGCAGCAGATCCATGCAGCACCTGTGCAGTTAACACTTTGGCTGTGTTTATGGCTGCAGATCCCAGCAGGGTCTGACTGAGTGAGTGGCCTCCTCAGGTCAGCTTTGAGATTTGAACCCAATCACCTCTCTGTCCACAACTATGAACACTTTCAATCTGTGGAAAGCTGATGCCTTGTGTAATAGCCTATCTTTATCAGTGTGTATGGTGTTAGTTCTCTAAGAGGGATTCCCTAATTCTTTTTTAAGCTGAGGCTAAAGATAGCTTTCCATTTTGAGCAACACAATGAGAGGAGGCCTTTGTTGACAGATAACAGAAGTAGAAAAAGGAAGAGCATATGAAAGATATGCAATGGCACACCATGACATCTTGAATATAAATTCAAACATCCTGCAAGTTAGTCCTTATCTTGACTTTACATGTTTTAACCTAAATAAATCAGAACTGAGCGCAGTGTCCCATAAGCAAGATCCAAGAGTAATTTTGGAAAACGTACCCTATCAGTCTCTCACTTAGCTTCATAATGCCTTATAGCCTAATAACAGTGAATAGAAGTTGGACAATTTAACCTGAAAGGAAACTCTTTGATCCTGGACAGCAAAGTGTTCATTTGCGGACAAAAAATAACAGAGCTCTTGTATTCACTTGAGATGCATCATGTATTCACTGATAGTGGTCTGGAAGACTTTAGTGGTTCTGCTTTAGGCCTGCACTTAACAGTGTCAGGAGTTAAGTGTGCGTTTAAGTACATGCTTAAGATGAGCTAAGCAGGAAAACCACCCCATGGAATCCTACTGTCATACACAGTCCAGGTGCGATACATCTCAGCATCTGTTTGTCTTTTTGTGCAAGTCCTGTTTGCTTTTCCAGCTTTTAGGCTGTCTGATATGTTAGCACATTTTTGTGATGGTACAATTACAATTCAGACATAATAACATGCACATTGAATAATAGTTAAGCGGGGCACTTTCTGTCAATTCATCTTCTTTTTGGAACTATGATCCAAATGACTTAGCCCCTATGCTAGTATTCTAAAAAACGTAATATCTCTATGCCGTACGGAAGAAAAAAGAAAGAGACATTGAACACAAGATGGATGACACATAAACCATAACCTGTCTAACTGGGACACTTTTGTTAGCAAACTGAAACACGTTCAATTACTATTAAAGTGTAGGCCTGATCAAATAAATGCACAATATTTATAAATCATTTGATTTATTTGTGTAACCCTACTTTAATCACCTCAAAACACTTTTACTTTTTACTTTCATGGCATTTCACTGCAGGGATCTTAAATAAAGTTTGTCATTTCACCCGGAAGTATAGCTACATACATAGCTACAGGAGGTATATTGTTTCATTTTCATACTTCAGCATACGTTTTTATTTAGTTAAGTTAGAACATGTAAGATAAAGGATTACGCTTTGTTCTCCCACTTTAACCATTGTCCCACTTTATCACTAATCACCAGAGAGGGCTGTGCAGATGTTTATGAATTCGTACCTTTTTAGAGTTAGGGTTATAGGAGATAATAATACATTAAAGGATAATAAAGGATTTGTGATGGTATAAGCACATCACAGAACATTGGGGAGTACTGATAATAGTGAGAGCAACAGAAATACTGCAGCGCTGTTTTAGCCAAATGATCCTGAATTCTTTGTTTGGAGGAGAAATGGTGGCAGCCAATAAAGAATAAACAAAGTGTGCACACTTTATTTATTACTCATCAGTAACATGTGGGAGTGCAGCAAATAGGGATGATGGCTGACTTCAGCTACCGTACATCTTATTTCAGCTTGTGATGGCTATGGTCTGCCGCTCATAGGGACCACTTATAAAGAATATAATGCTAATGAGACGTCCGTAGAGAACAGGCAGTCTCTTCACCATATGCCACTGAAATGTGCTTTGTCTGTCTTTGTGTCCCAGACACCCCACCATTGGATTCGATATTTCAGACAGCATGATTTTGTCCACTCAGAAATGTAACTTCAGCAAGGACCTCTTGTGCCACCAGACAGTATTTTAGAGCCGATTCAGCTCCCACATGTCCTCCATTAGCACCCCTAAAGCCACGGCAGTGAAGTCACATGGTGTTCCTTCTCGGACTTCACCATAAATGGCCATCTAATATCTGGCTTATAGAAGTGGCTATACGGTGTGAAATTGCATCTGAAAATCTAAAGATACATCATTCACATCTAACTGCTGCCATTTCTATAATGGTAGTACCCCATTTTACCAGCCAGACTCCATGTTCTTTCTAAGCGTCTCTGCATCACAGCCCCACTAGCTTTAGATTCTGGTGCTGCACAATCCATCGTGTCCTGGCGATGGTGTTACTCTGAATAGGCTGCCTTGTTTCCTCAAAGTCAAAGGTGTTCCAGATGGCTCTCCTAAACAAGATCCTGTCTGTGTCAAATCACCAGGACAACAGTGATATCAATTAATTTGTAAGCATTAAGGTGTTTTGAACGTTTTAAGGTTGACATTTGCAAATGGAGTCTGAGCTTTGCATTATAGTCATATGTCACGGCAACAGGATGGACATTTGAAAATTAATGTTAAGTTTCAAGAGGCTCTAGCTTTATTGGACTTTAATAGCAGATGTTTTTCATCATACATCATCGTTTAGAATTATATATTTTTTTATTTTGGTCTCTCACTGCAACCTGCGAAAATCCTGGTGTAAGGTATGCAGTAGCTCACCAAAATTAGATTTCCAGAGGGGAAAAATGGCAGCCAATCGTCGCGTCTTATTGATTAGTATATATTGCTAATTTAGACAATAGCACTGAGGCAAACAAGCAAACAAAGGCTCGCTGTTTATATGTTCACATGAAATGCACATCTGTAAAGACTCCACAAAACAAATGCTTCATTCATATCTTGTCACCCTGTGCTTTATGCAATGTGTTCACGCACCACTTCCCATCTACATGCGCTACATGTAAGATTACAAAGCCCACAGCCTGTCTAGCAGTGGTGGTTATCCTCAGCCGTCCCTGTAATCACCAGCCTCTGGACCGCGTCTGATATTGATCACGTTATTCCTACCGAACTGATCATTAACATGACTGGCAGTTACAACAAAGAGAAGAAAGCCTGTGCTCTTTCCAAGCTGAGCCCCTCGTTGTGCATTAGGAGCTGTGGACCCTGTATGAGGGAAATGACTCCTCTTTTATCAGCGTTGCCCTTCTCTTCCCAGAATGAACATCTTTCATTCATTTCTCTTCCTAATTACCCATAATCTGTCCCCATGTCGCTGGCAAGCATGTGCTTTCCAAAAGGTTGTGTGGCGGAGGGATTAGGTGTGATCTCATAATGTTACTAATGGAAAGGTTGGCACAGGAATGTGAGCTGTATTTTTTATTTTTTTCGGTGGGAAGGACACAGGTGCCCTTGCAGAGCGATGTGACGTGAGCGGACTGTGAATTTGCCAGGTGGCAGTGAAAGAGAGAATGAGAGAGAGAGCGATAGAAATGAAGACAGAGCAAAGCAGAGAGAAAATGAGAGATGGATAGACCGTGAGGGGGAGTGCAGTATACAGGGAGGCTGTGTCTATAAACTATAGCATCTCTCCGTGAATTACACTGGTAGAATTTTCTGGAAGCCCAGCGATCCAAATCAAAACGGGCCACGATGTTAGTGTTTGATTAGAGGATGAAACTAATCAGAAGCCGGGGACAAAAGGAGTTCCTTTTTGCAGCTTCCCTGGAAAGAGCCATTAACTGAAGCTGGACCCCCCCCATGTCCACAGACACACACCCGTGCACAATGCCGTTATTACACACATCCAGTCACTTAAGATACCTCTCGGCGTAAAATTTATAGGCGTAGTGATTGGCTTCATCACCCCCCTCCACAATTCTGCGGCACTGCCATTTGCAATGGTTGATGAGCCCCTCCGCCCTCTCAAACATGGCCGTCTAAGGAATTGGGGGTGGGGGAAAGGAGGGAAGAAGGGTGTGTGGCGTAAGGCACGCTGTCTCAGATCACTCCTCCTCCACCTCCTTCATCTTCTGCTTATGTTATCCGTACACCTCTCCAGCCACCGCTGAAGGTCAATCTACATGTTTCCCCATTCACCGCTGAAGCCCGCTCCCCAAGCCACTTCACCTTTGTCACTTTCCGCTAAAAGAAGTGAGTGAATGGGCCGCCATACTTTATAGTGCTGCGTCAAAAGAGGCGGAGTAGAGGAGAAAATTAAAAATTTTGGGACCGGCATCGGGGGGTGGGGACATGACGTGCTAGGAGGAAGAGGCCACACATTGGTGGAGCGAGGTGTCAGTCCTGCATGCTGCTGCAGACGGACAGGCCACTCGATGAATATGGATGAGAGCAGTGAAAAGGGTGATGCGGCAGGGAAGACCCCCCCCCTTCAAACCGATGCAGGCTTGAACAATGCGTGCCGTCTTTCACTGAAAACACTGAGAGCCTGCATTAGCATTTTCTCAGACAATTGAGGCTCTGGCCAGCTGCAGGCATGGCTCGGATGCTGCGGTGAAATCTCTTTTTCTGCACCCACTGATGAATTAGACCTCGGTGAAAAAGTCGACTGGCCGCATTCCTCAACACTACCATTGCACCTATGCCTAGGCTAATGTTCAGATTCCCTTTAGAGATTGTGCCCCGGCATTGATGGCGATCTGACAGAGGAATTGAGAACAGCAGATCTCAGAATGGGTAAGCATCGAACTCTTTTTGTCTCGACTTGTTGAATTTATCCATCATGCTAGACTACGTGCAATTTCATAGACCGACGACTCATTTGTCCATTATTGCTCATTTTTGTTCCATCGTCCTTGCTGCCTGTCAGCGGCAGGTTAGTCTATTGAAATGCAGAATGGGTACTTGGAGGGTAGTGAGAAGGAGGGAGGACGGTCACAAGGCATTTCCTCCTGACCCACCCCCCTTGAGTGACTTAACTAAACACATTTGGCTCAGAGTGCGCGTTTCTCCTCCAAACCATCCTTCCAGTATATATGGAGGCAGGGGTTTGAACTACCACCCCACTGGCTCTGTTTCCCAACGTGCCCCAGTGCTCCCGTCCCCTGGCGGATTGCAGCAACAGATTGCCATGTTTACTCTACCACATGACGCCATTAAAACCTGTTACTGTGATCTCAGACACTAGGAAATAATTAATTATTGACTAATGACAGCAAACGTGGCTGTGAGGGCGATGGAGGGAATCTTCGTGGATTCCTCCCTGCTGGGTTTACTCTGGTTGGAGATGAGAGCAAAGTTACGCATTGTGTTTTGTCTTGTCTGTCACCAACAGGTCTTTGGATGTTTGGATCCTGCAATCAGCATCAAATTAAATTATTTGTGTGTGTATGGAATCAGATATCTTGTTGCAGGAGTGAGGGTTCAAAAGCCTATGTGACTGTGTCAGGCATGCACGATCTTTATTTTTCCACCAAGGTCATTTTATTGTTATTCGTAGCAAAAAAGCGGAGAGCTGACTGCAATATGTCATTATATATAAAGATCAGACAACAGCCAGAGATAACAAAGATAGTTATGTGATGTCAATGCCCGGGTTTATCTCTTATTTATTTTTTAGGATGTTTTCAGGAAAATGACGCCACCTGACGTATATACTAGCTTTCAATAGTCATTTCCATTTTCATTTCATGTCTGTGCTTTCAGGCACATTTATGTATAATATGTTCTGGGATTTGGGATAGTCTCCACAACTAATTATTAAAATGAAATTCCATCAACAATCATATCTGCATTATTGTCAGAGCCATTGATTATGGGTGATGTGCATGGAAGAAAGCCAGTGTCTGAATGGAACATGAGGGGAATACTAATGCAATAAAGAGAAGAGACCCTTGTAGGCTGTGAAATTCCTTGATGTCACAGTGTCATGTTCATTCAAATCTGAATCTAATGAGTGCATTACTGAGGCAACAGGTTGGTCTCAGTGCAGGGCGGTCCACATCAATCCATCCGTCTTTCTTACCACCATGCCGGTCTAGCCCCCCCCATTCGATACCCTCCACAAAACACTGGATGCAGTGTCATGATGTCATAGCGTGTGGCCTCGGCATCTGCAATCGAAAAATCTGTATCATACTACAAACAAAATATTAGAAATGCGGTCCTATAAAGATGGACAGTGCCTTTTTACAACGCTGCCCCTTCAAATGACGTCACCCTTGAGGCAGCTGAAAAGGATCGACCATGACGTCATTGCATCGAAATCAGCATGCAGGCAATTTGAACCAGTCCTGAGAATGCACCTGTACCAAGTGTTTACCATGATGTCATCACTACAACATTTGGATATCAGTGGGGAATCACAGCCGCTCCACACCTATAAATAATGTTACTTCTCATTTATAGGCAGGTTCTTTAAATCTATTTGGGTCCAATCTCAATATGATTAGGGTTTTCCCGGACGGCCCACTTTAGTGCTGATTATTTTTGTGTTTCTCAACTTAAAGGGGCAAAAAAAACATGTTTGCCTGTAAATTCTTGAAACGGACGGGCTGTCAATCACCGGCTGCTACAAGCCACTGTAAGCCACAGCAGCCCCTTCCAAAATGGAGGAGATTTAGACCATGTTGGCAGTATACCCTTTGAACAAATCTGTGGGATTGGTTCCCATATGTTCTCCTCCTGTCTGTTAATTAAGAAGGATCACTCTGTCTTTGCGTAAATGAACTGCATGGATAATGAATTCATGTGTTTAGTCGGCTAAGTGTAACTTTCTTTCTCAGAATACACAATCTACCTTTTGCATTCGGATGGCATTTTAATTATTAATTCGACATTCCTTTAAATCAGATGTGTGAAAAATGATAGGTAACACTGGACCTGGCTTTGCATTTAGTCATGTTTCCTGAAACTCCTTGAAAACAGTTAAAATTAGACCTCTGCAAACTGGAAAGGAGGTCATCATCTGAAACTGGGACAGGACACAGAACATGTCACAGTCTCTAAAAAAATGTGAATGCACTGAAAGCTAAAATAAACTCAAAAGGCAAACCTTACCCTTCTCCCGTATGCCTTTTCTTGACCAGAGGAATATAGACACAATATTATTTTATTGTCTTTCCCCTTATATGTCGAAGCTTTGTGTCTCAATTGAGATATTTTGCTGGTTCGAGCATTGGGGGTTGGGCACAAGCATGGTGTGTACATGATGATGTGACCCTTTCTCACTTTATGTTTCTTTCCCCCAGAGGAGGGCGAGTACTTCCTGAAGGTGCTGATCCCCAGCTATGCAGCCGGCTCTATAATTGGCAAGGGTGGCCAGACCATCGTACAACTGCAGAAAGAGACGGGTGCCACTATTAAGCTGTCCAAATCCAAAGACTTCTACCCAGGTAAGAATGAACAATTGGTGGGCATAAAGAGCTTCTGAGAGGAGTGGTTGGATTTATTGAATTAGGGATGAGATAAGCAAGGGATCCTGGAGAAACAAAAATTGCATGTAGATGGAACAGCTGTCAGACGCAGCCTTTAAGTCCACAGGAAATTTCAGTTTTTTTGAAGTTGCTTTGATGGCAGGTTGCACCCTTCCTTGCAGGGTTTGTTCGTGGGTTTTCCAGTTTCATGTCGTTGTATTTCCTTTTTTTCTTCTCGGAATATTGTGTGGGTTTGACATTCACCCCAAAAATTCTGTGGCGCATAGGACATGGAGAGCCTTAATTGTGGGAGTTTCTCTCAAAAATGGCGACATGAGAAGGATGCGCAGGCAGCCGGTGACCCCTATCATACGCAGGTCGAAGCTGAACCATCTTATCCTCCAAAGAGAAATGCCTGAGTCGTAGAGGAGTCTGGGTGTCTGTCCTTCATGCCTCAGAGGAGGCTTCAACCTGCTGAAAACAACAGGTGCTGAGCGCCTCGCTGCTTATTAGATCCAGTGATAACTGATGAAAGCTAATAATCCCTGTGTTGTAGTGTATTTATTTTTTTACTTTATATATGTTTAGAACTTGCTATTATAACCTCTTTAGATAGGAAAATGGTTAGTACATGATGTCTGAAATATGCACAAACTGAAAACACAAGAAATAGATTTAGTTTTTAATAAAAGGGTTCAAAGCTTATTTTGCCTAAAGCACTGTTAAAAGCAAATGCAGAGATAGGTTGTTCTCCACCACTCAATTTTGACTCATAAAGGCCTTGAGCCCTTTGACCTCTACAATGTCAGCTCTTTGAAATAATTAAGAGCACAAAATACACTACCTTGAGGGGAAATCTACAACATGGTTTGAATTTGACCTGTTCTGTTGTGAGTTACATGTGAAATATTACACTGACAGGATTGTGGCAAGGAATTAAAGAGCAATTGGGGAAAGCAAAGGAATGATGATGCGATGTGGGTGCCAAAAATGTTCCTGAACATCTATCTCCCACGGAGTTTCTCTTAGCTACGGCTAATTCATTAGCCTAGGAACAAATAAAAGAAGTGATCTGTATCCTTATTCCTCTCTTTGGGTTGTGGCTGTGTTCATAGGCCACCACCTGCTCAGCCCATCCCCCTACTCATTATAGTGATGAGTGAGAATAGTTCAGGGAGAGGGTGCTGGCAACGATCTGATTGGGTAGTTATTCTGGCCAACACAAGTCAAATGAAACAACTCTACTGTACACTGCACAATAGCGGAGAGTGTCGCTTCCTGTGAAGTCAGTTGAGGCTAAAGCTTTGAAAAAACGGTATAAAGTATGGGCAACTCGGTAACGTTTTTAACAGCAATGTAATACAAAAACCTGTCCTGAATTCTAGACTAGGATAATCATTCGCTAACTCATCAGCTATACCCAAAAAACGGAAACGTTCACTTTAATTACATTTATTATGTCAACAGATTTCACATAATTGTATTAGTTGAGTTGTTAGTTGAAAACAATAATATTTAGTTGAACCTAATATTTTTAATTTAAACGTAATATTATGCTTTCAACTAACCTAATACAGTTATGTGAAATCTGTTCACATAATACATTTAATTAAATTCAACGTTTCAGTTTTTGCAGTGTACTAATGATTTACCTTTCTTCATTGTTGGATCAGCTGCAGTTTGGGCTAATATGGCACGCTAATGCCATTACACAGTTCACGCCCTCACCTCTCATCCTGCGGCAGCCAGAGCACACTCCAACCACAACACAATCGCACACTAGAGAAATCAACAGACAGCAACCGATGCAGCCATTTTCTTCTGCAGTCCTCTCTGTGACGGCTCAGTGTAAAACTCCCACCCACCTCACATCTCCCATGTGTCAGAGTAAGACATGAGACCATGAATTCAAAGGTCTCAATGGGGACTGTACAACTGGGCCCTGCTGTGGCCGACGGAGATGGATGAGGGGAGATAGTGAACGGTGTGGATGATACATGATTGTATGTGAGCGAGGGGACAGGGGGGCAGGCCCAGAAATAGCCTGTTTCAATCTCTCTCAGTGGACCTGACCCCTCTACCAGCTGTAGTCAAGCTGCTCCAACACACGCCAAGTTTCCCCTTTCCTCCTCTTTCCGCTCAATGTTTCTCTCTGATTTGGTTCCTGGTAGTTGGGAGAGTTCAGGCCAAAAGAGATGACATCATACTATTCCTAAAATTGTGTTTGCATTCCTGCCTCCTAACACATGGGCAGTAACGGTTTGGTTTTTTGTTTTACTGTTGAATCTGAACTGTTGCATGGCTGGATACTCGTGCCCCCGTAAATGCAGCATACTTTGCATTCACCGCTAAGTATCGTGCAGTGAGTAAACACACATCCCCACTCACACCTACTCACACACATCCGCATATTTAAGCAGGGAGCCGTGGGAGTTTAACATTCACACACAAACTTAGGAACAAAACCTCAAACTTTGCTTGTTGCAGCTGGCCTCCGTCCAACTACATGTATTGAGTTTCTTTGCAAGGCACGAACAGATGAGTTTGTTGTGATGTCATAGAAACACTGGGTCTATGTTTTCTATTTTATGATTATTAAAATATCAGTCACACTATGTGACTTAACACTGGAAAACACCATAGATTTAAAGATATAGAGATATTTTGTTCAAAAAGGAACAAATAACCTACTGAAAAAGAAGCAGTTAGTTGTTTCTCCATACGCTGTATACTGTACACACTTCCTCTCCCTATAGAGCAGTATTACTGTCTGGGATGACATCATGCACAGGGATTTCAAACTAATGGAAACTTCCTTCAGATTCATGTCTTTGCCTTCAGTGAACAACAGCTCTCCCTGGTGAGCGACTTCCTCCAGAAACAGTTGTTACACTCCAGATTTAAAAGATTTTAATTTAAAAGGCACTCCATAAGTTGTACACATGTAGGTCAGCTTACTTCTAAAAAAAAGATAAATGCTCAGCTTGAGAAGATTCAGGATGTAATATGGTGGTTATCTCAGCATAGGGATACACACTACACACTTCTGACTGACATCTGAGGTGGGAGATACGCTACCAAGTTGCATTATGTGAAATAGAGGACTTTGTGTTTTAAGAGTTTGACGCCATACTAAAAGCCAGGATATCTCACCCTCATCGCCATACTTTTTACTCTTTCTCTTGCAAGTACCCAAACCTTATCGAGGTGCAAAACTTAATTGCATAAAAACACATTAAAGTAATGAACATCTCCTCGAAGCTAACGGCTAATATAGCTGCTAATAGTGACTACTTACCAGCTAAGCTAGCCAGTAGCCACTAGCTTGGGGGACAGTGTTTATTATTTAAAGGGTAATTTCAGCAATTGCTATGCTAGCCACTTTAAGCAGCCAATAGTCTTGAAATGATCGCTTACATAATTTAATTGTTTTAATAATGAAAAGAAACAATTTAGGCAGAAACAGTTATGAGTAGTCAATAGGTAGAACTAGTTTCTGCTTCTCCGCTAATGAGTCACTTTGTTGCCAGACATTTTCTCCAAGGCTTCTTTTGCTGATGCCAATTGGGTAATGAGTAATGCAAGCAGTACACCGCCAATCAATCAACTTGTGTTCTCAATAGCTCGTTGTTTGCAACAAAACAAAATGCCTGCTTTGCTTTTAATTACTGAGAACTGTGTTGCATTTCCATACAATACTCATGCTTCCAGTTATACACTATCACTTACTTTGACGCTGTGAGTAAACAAGATTGAATAATGCTTCATAATTTCTTTCAAACGGGAAGTGATAAAAGACGTGCACCAGTCGGCATGAACAACCATGAATTGGAACATTGTGTAGCTCCTCCTTTGGTGTTGTACATCACAGTAACTGATGACTAGCAAGTGAATATTTACCGTGCATATGAAATTGGTTTTAATAGTCATGCGACCACTATGTGTTTTACAGTTCACTTTCGTGTGTTAGGGTTAGGGGGTTAGCCTCTCTACCATTTGGTGTATTTGTTGTTTTGTTGATTTGTATTTCTGATATTTATTTTTAATACATACTTGCCAAACTGAATAGTATACTGTAGTGACTAAATATTTCGTAAAGGTGTAGTCTGGTGCTTTTCTCCTATTTTTCTTATAATCGACAAATTCCATGAAAAGACCCAAACCAACTATAAACAGACCCTACTAACAAGTATTGTGTTTATCAAATCCTGCATATCGTCTTCCTTTCTGTTATTGAGCTCCATTGTACAAAAAGTGCTGAGCACACAGTGTTTTAACTGGGTAATTTGATTTAACACTGGAATTTCCAACAGAAACATCACAGCTTAATTTGAGTAAATACTTTACACTTCTGCTGATGTGATGACACTAATTAGGTTTGATAATTTATGTGTGACATGCTAACAGTCTAATTATATAATAAATAATGGTCTGTTCCGCAGAATCATAAAGAAGCTCAAGTAGGACAGGATTATTCAAACGTTCCTAATTCAGAACCAAGATTAGAGTTATTGGTGTCATGGGGAAAGCTGAAGGCTGAGGTGTGTGTTCTCAGGGGCACTAACACCCGCCCCCCCCCCTTCTGCTAACATGAGGACGAGCCAACTCATACTGCAATTCAAAGCTTTTATTATGAAATACGTCACCTTCAAGGAGAGACAGCAGGCAGTTGCTGATGCAAGCAATTTAGGAAGTGAAAAGAGTGGAGAATAAAAATGAAACATTCACGTAGTTAAATACCAACTTAATGGTGTCTCATCTGAGACAAAAGTCATAAATCATGGTCCCTGCTTTAAGATCACTTGACCTGGAAGCAGCCCTGACACTGCTTGAAGACCATTTTACTTCCAAAGATGTTGCTGCACCGAGTGAAGTAGAGGTACATCCTTACGCTATACTGTTGGTTCTCGAAAAGTGAATAAAAAGCAATAATTGCTAGGCAGTCTTCTAAGGACGTGTTGCATCACTCAAGATGGCCTAGTTTTTAATTGGTTGTATTGGTAAAGGGTGAGCAAAGATATTGCTCAGTCTAAGTACATTCCAATATCTAAGCCTGAAGTATAATATCTGCATATCAGCCACATTTTTCTTTTTTATCTTCTACTCCAGTGCGATAAGGTTTTGCACAAATATTAGTAAGCGACCTCCTCTTTTTTTAAATACCGGTTGTTTTTATCCAGGAAACCATTTCATACACACAATAATTCATTTCCTCCACCATTAAAAGAAACAATAGGAAGTTTATCTTGTTGTCTCAAAATAAACATTCACAGAGGAGTGAAGTGCCTGTACTCGCGGACTTCTGTTTGTCTCGTGTCTAGTCCTCCAAGCCCCTTCACCCGGAAGTCCTTCCAAGTGAGAAGTTATCTTTCTGACTTAAAAAAAGAAATGTTTTCAAGAAATCAACCCACTGATAAAAAATATGCTTAAAATGTATGACTCTGGAATGGAAACAGAATTTCTAACTAAGATGGTTACAATATTACTATTTAACCATCATGATGAACACAGTATTATCAATGTAAAGAATGCATGGGGAAATTAACTATCCTGCAATATACCAATGGCAGATTGGGAACAAATGTGCAAAAACATCAATAACACAACCAACTCAAACTGGAAAGAATCCACATGGAAGATTTTAATGTGTTACTTCAAGACCCCCCAAATTCACAGTAAATAGAAATCAAATCTCCCTTCAAAATGCTGGAGAGAATGCAGTGAGCAGAAGGCCAACCATACGCATATACTTTGGTCCTGTAATGTTTTGTGTGACTTCTGGGAAACAGTTATAAGAGAAATGTCAAATATATTTGGCATTTCTCTAAACAAGAACCCACTAACCTATTACTTGGGAAAACACCAATTACAGGCAATTGCAAAACATTTTTTTTCCAGAGATAAGAATAGCAATCATAAAACAAGGAAATGGATAAAAGATAATAACTTAATCAAGTCACAATGGAAGGACCTAGTGAATTAAGTATATAGAATGTCCAAACCTCTAAGAGGTTTACTATATAGCCTGCTTTTTCTTTTTTTTTGTATATAAATGACAGTTGGAACCAGGGTACATTTTGCAGGGACTTTACCTCCAGTAGTTGTATATGAATGTTCTATGTAGCCCTTTATGTTTATTATCGAGAACTTAACCAGGAAACAAGAAATAAGGTCGACTGCAGGTCAAGTGCCCTTTTCTCAATTTTTTCCAATTAGAGATTCCTACTTATTTTCCTGAGATGCTTAACCTGACTCATTGACTAACATCCATTATACAGTACATGTCTATGGCAAAAAGAACACCTGGTCTCTCTTCTGCTGATTTCCCTGGATTCTTATTTTGGCATTTCTTTGGTTCTAAACATTTTTCTTTCGGGCAGATCTGGAGGTTTGTGTCAAGTCTTTTGACAAGAAGTTGAAATACCAATAATGAGCAGCACCTCTTTACTCAAATGGCTAATATTACATTTACTCAATTATTGTTTGCCTTATTCAGATGTATGCCATCTGTTAAGTCATCTAAAAAAGATCCAGTGATGTTTCCATTTCTTTTCAACCCAAAAAGATAAAAATGTTCAGGGGAGCAAGACGGGAAGGTTTATACAAAAGGAAGAATGTTTTTAAAACGGTGAAAGCAAGTATAAAGGACTCGCTGTTGCATCACCTGTTTCCACGGCTCTGCCCCTTTACCATGGCAATGGAATGCTGGTTGGGTTGTCAGTGTGGGTGTAGAAAGAAGCCTGGGGGGGGGGAATGGGCTTGTGTTCAGTCCATTAGAGCTGCAAGGCAAAGCTGGTCTCAGTGTTACAGCCCTGAAAGAGTTACATCATTGAAGTGGAATCCTTGTACCTCCCAGTGAGTTGCTAACCAAGCACGATTACTTCAGCTGTTTTCTGTTGATCGTTTGAATGGAGGCGAGGAATAGCTCAGTAATTGGGTCTCTTTGTAAAATGTCAAGGTGCATTTTTCAATACCAGCGCATCGTAATATAAATGTAGTTTTTAGTCCAACCCCTAGCAGATCCCTCAAACCTACTCGCCCAGTACAGAGAACATTACAGTAACTAATCACTTGTGTTTGTCCTCTTTCTACTCTCTCATCATAGGCACAACAGAACGTGTCTGTCTGATACAGGGTACAGTCGAAGCCCTCAATGGCGTCCATAACTTCATTGCGGAGAAAGTCCGCGAGATGCCCCAGAGCGCTCAAAAACCTGAACCAGTCAGCATACTGCAGCCACAGACCACCGTCAACCCTGACCGCGTCAAACAGGTGAGATACTGCACGGTCAATAAGGTCACGAAGATGCGTTGGCACTTCCGAGACACTTTGTTTATAGGTCCCCAGTCTTATTTTTCTCTGTGCAATGACCCACAGTCTGGTAGGGTCAGGAAAATGTGAGAGTATGTGGTTATTTTTACCTACAGCCTTTCATAGGCCATGTGGCAGCTGCAGCCTACACCCCGGGGATTAACAAATAGCTGAGTAAAGCTAGGGCTGGGATAGTACTCTGACTCAGTGAAAGACATCCCTCTTTCTGACAACCACTTATGTTAAAAAAATTTTACCTTGTTACCTTTTATTGCTACTTTAATCTTTCTTTCTCTCTACAGGCAAAATTGATTGTGCCCAATAGCACAGCTGGGCTGATCATTGGCAAGGGTGGAGCCACAGTGAAAGCCGTGATGGAGCAGTCAGGGGCTTGGGTGCAGCTCTCCCAGAAGCCAGAGGGCATCAACCTGCAGGAGCGGGTGGTAACCATCAGTGGGGAACCTGAACAGAACCGCAAGGCAGTAGAGATCATAGTACAGAAGATCCAGGAGGACCCTCAAAGCAGCAGCTGCCTCAACATCAGCTATTCCAATGTCTCGGGCCCCGTGGCCAACTCCAACCCCACCGGCTCCCCCTACGCCAACACAGCCGAGGTGATGCCCAATGCGGCCGCAGCCGCTGCTACCGCCTCCAGCCTTCTGGGCCAGGCCGGCCTGACAGGAATGGGTGCCTTCCCCGCCACCATGTCCACCTTCTCTGGCAACGATCTGCTGGCCATCACCTCAGCCCTCAACACGCTGGCCAGCTACGGCTACAACACCAACACCCTCGGCCTGGGCCTCAACCCTGCAGCTGCCTCTGGGGTCCTCGCTGCAGTCGCAGCTAGCGCCAACCCGGCTGCTGCTGCTGCAGCTAACCTGCTAGCCTCCTACGCTAGTGATGTGTCCGGTGGTGTGGGCCACCCGGGTGTGGGCCTCGGGGGATTCTCCCTGGGTTCTCTAGCAGCTGCTACAGGGGCTTCCAATGGTTACCTAAATGCTTCATCCCCACTGATGGCCTCCTCTCTATTGGCAGCAGAGAAGCTGGGGGATGGGGCCAAGGACGTGGTTGAGATTGCTGTGCCCGAGAATCTGGTTGGTGCCATTTTGGGGAAAGGAGGGAAAACGCTGGTAGAATACCAGGAGCTAACAGGAGCCCGCATCCAGATCTCCAAAAAGGGAGAGTTCATTCCTGGTACTCGGAACCGTAAAGTTACCATAACAGGGTCGCCAGCCGCTACGCAAGCAGCGCAGTATCTGATCAGCCAGCGGATCACTTACGAGCAAGGCGTGCGCGCTACCAACCCACAAAAGGTGGGCTAAAAGTTAAAGGAAGAGGAAAGAAGGAAAGGATGAAGACAGAGATAGAAGGGAATTGAGAGAGTCACGATGAATAGAAAAAGAAGCGTCCAAATATCTGTTCAATATTTCAGAATCAAATGAAAGAATCACAAAGGAGGAGGTGGGGGAGACAACCAAGATAAGTGTGTGTGATATGTGAATGTGTTTTTAGGACTGATGTCCTGATGTTTTTTAAAAGTTTGTGTCGAGTCCTTTTGACGATGGTGATCAACGTAAGCTGAACTGGTCCACTGCCAAGCTGCAGATTCAAGGGTGAGGCCGCAGGGTTTCACCCCCCTCCAAAACCTCATAGCTGTTTCCTTTTCTTGTTTGGGTTTTGTTGGTTTTATTTCAGTTGCAAACCTCAGCTCCCGGCGAGTTGAGCAAGTCAGATGAAGTTCCAGTCAGCTGATAGAGCTGTTTTACAAACCTTGCTCTTTGTATACAATGCAGAAGGCATTGTTAACAGGGTAGAGGTTTTATGACAAGCACCTGAGGTCATCTCAGTCTACGGGAAGCAATCTAAGAATAATTTCTTTAAAATGTTGACATTTGTTGAATTCTGGCTCATATCATAATTGAACTTTCTAAATTTGGGTATTTTATACTTTCATCCTTTATTTATTGACATGGTCTCATTCAAACACAAATAGATTATTTAAACCTGTGAATGCAGGTTGATCTGAATGTAAAAACAATATAAGCCTATTGCTATTTTTTATTTACAGGGATCAAATATTGTGTTGCAGTGAAGAAATGTATAACTCGAACCCAGACTGAACTTCACTGTTGTTGTCTGCAAGTATAGTTCAGGGGTTTAATAATCAATGTGAGAGGATAGAGGAGACACAGAATGTATGAATATATTTTACACAACACACTAATGCTCCCAGAAACATATTTGCATATTCAGTCACAGCTACAAACACGTAAATATGTCGTTTAACCCTTTGTTGGTGCTATAGGATTAGGTTTATATCTCCTTTACCATGAAATCAGAATCTCTCTGGCGACTATTCTTTTAATTTGAACAACTGATGTGTCGTCCAGCCATTAGTAGCCCATTGGATCTGACCCAGCCTCTCACTTAATGAAAAAGTATTGATTTCAGCCTTTCATGATGAAAAGCATTCCAGTCTTAATATTTAAAGTCCATCCTTGCTCCCAATGCAGGTTTTTTCAAGAAATTGGCCAATTAACCTGACAATATGTTTGCCTTAGTCATACACTTGTTTCGTCCCAGAATTAACTTAAAGCTACCTTAATGCAGTGTCTAACCAGTTCAGTCAACAAAGGGAACAAAGCACTACAAAAGCATTTTGATAAGAAAAGCTGTATGAACCAATATCTGTGAACAAAGAAAATATTGCCTTTACATTAAGGGTACCAAATAGTCATAAGACACATACATCAATGAAAGGGAAGTAGAATGACACTTGAAAAGAAGGGTTGGACTCATTTTTTTCTGTGAGCCATCCTTTCCAATTAACATCAAGACAAAAAGAGATACTTCAGTTCATCCAGACAGCCTGTTGTCGTTCCCAAAACACGTTAACACTCACTAACTGCGGGTGGAGAGCGTAATAAAACATCGAGAAATGTTTTGGCATCGTTGTCTTTTATGGGCAATTGTTTGTCTAATGCAGGGAGGCTAATTGTCTAGAGCATTGTTAAGCACTCGAAGATTACCTTGGCTTCCTTCTGTGCTGCTATCCGTGCTGTTCATCCTGAGTACACTGGGTCTCTGAAGACTGCACTGTGAGACATTAAGAACACAATGTAAAGCATGTCTGTCCCTGCTGGGATGTGAGTATATTTTAATGTGCACATATATGTCACATAAACAAGACCTACCAATACTGACAGAAGGGATAAATATCCACAAGAGCATTTATACTCCAGCGTCTTGTGATGTTTCTGTTTACCAGTACCAATGCACTGCACTTAAATTAGCAGACGTTTTCTGATCAGTGAACCATAAATTATTCCCACCACACTTTCCTGCATTCTCCAGTCCTATTACGTCCACTTCCCTCCTTTGAAACATATTTTCAATTGTCCCTATCAACCCGAGCTCTATGATCAGCTTCCTGAATGAACGGCTGTGAGGGTTGGTGCTGAGTAGTGTCCAAAAAAATCAGAACCTCTCCCGTTTATAAGAAACTTTAACAAATTGCCTCTTCTCTTTTCATCGTTCATGGTCCATGATAAATGGATTTAAAAACAACTCCTCGTGTCTAAGCATTGCAGCAGTGAGCCTTTCTTCCTATCTGAAATCTCTCCTTTCACTTCGTGTCCGGAAGGCTTCACAGTCATCCATAACTACAATCTGGCCACTATTAAAATCATAGCATACTATAACCTTTTCCTGCCCAAGTTTTTAGCATATAATAAGATACAAGCACAAAACAAGGGAATGTTTTATCAATGCAACTGGACTGCTTGACTGCAGAGAGTTCTCCTTTTAAAGCTCTCGGATCATTACATTGTGCCAAATACAATTTTCTCTCTGCCCTTCATAAACTTTCCTCTTCCTCTCAGCATTTTATTCCCCTGCATGTTGCTGTTTCTCACCGTTCTGAGATCCCTCCTGTGTCCTAATCCCTGTCTGTGCTTCTTCCTGCTCTGTGCTCTCCCCCTCTTTCTCCTTCCTCCTGTCTTGTCTTCTCATGGGTGGTGTGCTGGTGGTGGGAGTTATGCACTATAGGTCAAAAGGGTATGAAAATATTATCCCAGGCCGTAGAGTTCACAAGGCTTAAATGCACAGAAAACACCTGCCTCCAAAACTGTGACACCCACAAGACCAACCAGCAACGTTAGCTCAAAGTATCAAATTCCCTCTATAAGAAAAACAAGTAGGATTTAGACTGTGAACTTTGGCCTTCTAGGGGAAGAGAAAGAGCTGTTTTTCTTCCAAAAGGAGGCAAAATAGATCTTCATATGTCAGCTGAACAAATTTAGCTCAAGTTTCAGCCTCTAAACAAAGTGTAGAAAGGACAGAATGCATAAGATAGTGAGAGTAAGGTGGGAACTTGTTTGTGACCTCAAGCCGAAACAACGACATCCTTTATGCATATCCTCTTATCTGAAAATGACTAGAATTCATTTCTGTGGAATACAATATGTCATGTCATATGATCTATATGTACTTTATTGTAGCTATTCTAGTTTGTAGTCCAAATGCAGTCCAGCGTTGTCGATACAATGTGAACTATGTTATATTTGTGTGGATGATGAGAGTGCCAACTAAGCCTGATTAAGATTAGCTTTGCGATTTGTTTGTGCATTATGATGACTCATCATCAGCCGGTGGTGTCCATATTTCTGTCATTGATGATTTAGTTTGACAGTAAGAAAATGTAAAGAATATTGGAAGCAATATAGTAGCATGTTGTCCTGTTTTGTGTTTTATGTCTGTTGTATGAACCTTTGAAATTACTAAGATTTTGAATGAATAGGTTTACATGTACTTTTTGTAAGTTATGAAAATGCTGCTATTTGATAAGTAAACTATACAAAATATTTTAGTTGAAAAGATGTCTGGTCTGTTGATTAGAAACATGCTCTCAAAGGCAAGAGCATAAAACGAGGTGTATAAAATACTATACAGTATTGGTAAGATAGTAAAAGTAATAATAGACTTCATAGTACAACCTGTGCCAAACTAGACCTCCGCAGCTTCTGAAATTGTAGATGTGCGATCAGATGTTAGATATCAATAACTTGTTTAGAAGTGCTGATCAAGTGCCAATCAAACACTGTCTTTTAAGTTAAGAAAAGATAATCAAATACATTACTTAAGAAAACAAAGGACAATAACTTTTTTGTGCATTGTTTTATCCCATAGGTACATAGAGTAAGAGTTAAAGATTGTGATTTTTATGGATCCATGTTGTTTTACACTCCATGCATCCCTTGTGTGTTCGTTTGACCTGTGGCTTAAGTACTGCTGTCTCACAAATATCTCTATAGGCCAGCATGGACTAAGCATAACATGTTATAAGCATTCATAACATACCATTAACAATCAAAAATGTGTTTGTGAAATTAGGTGTTATCTTTTTGCACGTCTTCTATTGCATGGTATCAAAGTAAATTATGGAGGAAAAAAATTACAAAAATTTGCGAGGTGTCTCGCAACATTCAAAGACATAACGCTGCATGCAGTCAAATGTAAAGCACTTAAGTTTACTCACCTCATGTTAAACAAGTTGTTTTTGTGTTGTGAGTTGGGAGGGATCTCATTATTGTCATGTTGGCCCGGAAAAAAAAAAGACGCACACACATCTCAGATCATCATCTATCATGTCTCTAAATATCATCAGAGAAGATATTTAGATTTTTAGGAACAGTGAGGAGTATTAAATATGTGAAACAAGCAAACGTGAAAATGTTATTCAGTGCATTGGCTCCTTGTGTTTTGCTTTTTCAAGATATCAGACATGCATTTATTTCTACTAACAGGTTGAACCTCATATAACCTGACCGATAATGTTTTTTATGCCACAGCTTGAAAGCCCAGATCTAATCTATGAATGTACACATTTACTCTTTTTCTTATTTCTGTCGAATGTCATCCGTCTTGGGAATGTAAATTCAGGGCAGGAATGTCAAATACATGTAGAGTTAATATCTATGTCAAAAACAGATTTCAGCTATAGTCAGGTAGGCCTCACACGGCCAGTCATGAACCAGATTTGTTTGAACGCAACTTCCGATTCGCTGTCAACATTATCTTGTTTGTTTGGTGTTGCATAAATGCACTTTACTGATCAGTGGGTCATGTGAAATGAAGCAAACCATGTTGACGTTCAACAGTTTTCAATTTGTTTTGTCATTTGTTGTTGCTCTGATGTTACTTTTGTTTATTTATTCCTGATCGTGTTGGGTCTCATGAATGATGGAAAGGGCTGGAGTCTCAGACAAAATAGAAAAGTAGCACCTGTTGCTCACTCGAAGGCTTCTCCTTCACATTCCCTTCAGCACAGCTTACTGAGGGCTTTGTTTTACACTAACATGTTAAACCAGGAGGGATCTGTACACTTTGTCTTTTTGCATCCATTTTTGCTTTTAATAACAAATTATAAAATGGCTTTAATTTCTCCAGAAAATTGGGATTGAATCAATGGGCTGAAGGTACTGAGGCTGATGTAACAGTCAGATCTGAGAGACATAATCGGCACCATCGAAATAAAAAAGCCTCTACCACCTCCCGATAAAGATAATCACAGAGGAAGCCGACACTGAAAAACTGAAACGTTGAAAAGCAATAATATTAACTTGAACCTACTTAAACTTAATAGTATTGCTTTCAACTAACCTAATACAGTTATGTGAAATTTGTTGACATAATACATTTAATTAAAGACAAGGTTTCAGTGTTTTGTCCGACTTTGAGTGGTAAAGGCCATGTTAATTTCTCTCATTTTTGTGTCAAACCCCCCTTACATTTCTACTTCCCATCTGAATGCCAAACGAATTGCAGTATCATTCCAAAAGTTGTTATATGTTTATTTTTATTTTCACTCCAAATGTGTCCAGGACATTCATCCGCCCACAGAGCCCTTTCACAAGAAGGCTAGGACTGGTTTTAAACTACAGACTGCTTACTCCTCTCTTAAAACCTGTCCTCCCTGAGTGTCCCTCGCTCAGCCTCACCATCTCTGTTCCATCACACTGAGCACCTGCTACTTTGTCCGCCCTTTAAACGGATATTTCTGAGCTCTTTCGTCTGAGAAAATACGGGATTCTTTGCCAACCTGACATGAGGCCATTTTTGTCTTTGACCCTCTGAACCTCCCATGAACTTAGTTGACCTTCTCCATCCCCAAGAACTCATGTATTTGTTGGATATCTTACACCACGAGACTGTTCTTTGTTTTCTGGATGATACTGCAGGGGTTGAACGCTTGCTTGAGTGTAAACTGAAGAAAAGCATGCCAGTACCTTGCAATCATTATCATGTCAGTTTCTTTCCAGGTTTACTTCGTTTAACCTCTGTTCTATCCATCTCAGAAAAAAAAATGGACTGACAGCATAAGCTCAAATATTCCAACCTAAGAGAAGTGATGTTTTGTTGATTGGGTACATTTCTCTGTGATATAAATGACAACAGTTCTGTCTTTAGTTTGTTACGAGGAGAGTCTGTGAAAGTCTGCAGTATTAACTACCTAAAGGGCTTTCTAGGACAGCATTTATATGTCTTTTAAAATGAAAAAGTCCTCTAAATATATTCAGAAATAAGAGGAGAATGTCTTGTGCCATTTAGCAAAAGTGTGAAGGCTTTTGACGGCAAATATTTGTCAGCAAGAGTGCCAAATATTTCCATACTGAGCCAAAAGGCAGCCAGCCTACATAACTAAATGTTAGATCACTGAAATGGTTACGTCCCATTTCCACTCCCCTTGAGAAACACTGAGTGTACAACGTTTGAGCTCATGTGCCATTATTGTTATGCTGCCAGTCTGTTTTCTGCTTTTGTCAGATGAACATCTCAGAAGCAGTATATTTTCTAAATGATACACTGTTGGTAAAAAAAAAAAAAAAAGACAACAGCTACTATGGTGAGGAAATGAGAGGGTTTTAAAAGTCATTGTTTTTATTATTAGTTTATTTGAACATTATTCATTAATAGATTTAACGGTAATGACTATTTAATGTAACTGTAGTACTGTGTTTGTAAAATAAATTCAGTGAGTTGTGTTTTATGACTCGTGGACTACCAGTGAAGTCAGCATTTCAGTGTTAATAATTGAATTGTTTTTTAAAGATTATTTTTGCGACGGCAACAAAGAGTCATTATAAATGTTCATTTTAACATCACTTGTCTTCTGTTCCTTTTTTTCTCCACCTGGTCCCGCTACGCTGTCTCACTTGAGTGAAAGGTTGAGTGTTTTCATAATTGCAGCTATCTCGCTCTATGAATAGATCGATCCCCGCTGTGCTGAACCTGAGCACATGTTAAATGTGAACAAGGGTTATACTGTATATATGAGGACACAATGCTCCTATAATAAGGGATCACATTATGGTGTAACAGTGTTGTGGTCAAAAGCAGAAGCAGCAATGTCACTCCTGGTGTTCATTCATTTACTTAAATAGGCCCTATTATCCCTTTTGGGGTTTTCCCTTCCCTACTGTGTTAAATAGGTATGTGTGCATGTAAATGGTCTGCAAAGGCTACAATTCCCACCAGAGGAAGTTTCTCTCCCACACACTCCCCCCTCCATTCCCACCTGAAACTCCTCCATTGGACTCCTTTGTTTACTTCCACGACACAGTGATATCACTATGTAACACTCGCTCGTCTGTTGGCTTGCTCTCTAACACATTGTACGTGATAGGCTAAGGAGCGGGACATCTCTGAGCGGTTGACCAATCACAACAGAGCCAGCCAGCTAAGCAATCAGAGCAGACTGGGCTCTGGTTTCAGACAGAGGGTGAAAAGAGGTGCTGCAGCACAGGCAGTATGAGAACAATAAAGAGCTTTTTGAACATTAAAGCATGGAAACATGTCACAGGAGAGACACAGACTACAAATATGAACCTGATAATTAGTATAATAGGGCCCCTCTATCGACTGGGTTGATTTACTGAGGGTAGGGTGTTGAGACATAATATTTATTGTGTTATTCAGCTTAAGAAAATTGCTCTGTTTCCATAGGGCAGTGACTCCAATCATTTACAGACACACACAATTGTTTCATTTATTCAAGCCTCCAACGGATAGCTTCAAAGTCAGTCTCTTACTGTGGATCACATTTTGAAAACAGGAAAATTCAATGCAAAAGTGTTAAGATGCATTCACATGATATATGGTTAAAAGGCTCTGTTCTGGCATGGCCGTTGCCCTTGGTATTGCACACAGCTTGCAATTGTTACTGAGTGCTGCACTCAAGGTTCAAATTATTTCAAATATCACCTTGTTTACCACTGACCTTCATCATGTGAATGCAGCTTTAGGGTTGGGGTTAGCACACCAACATAGGTAGATTTGGGTGGAGCTATGCTGGAAAATCTAACCAGAATTCTTCAAACAGACGGATGTAGATCACATGAAAGTAGTTCCTTCCTCAGGAGAGATGTACGACGATACGACGATAATACTTTATTGGTCAGATCAAGTCTGAAATTTGACTTGCGTCACAGCAGCTCCATGTCCAACATCAACAGACAAGTATCCAGACACAATACATGAAACACAAACAACAAACATTTAACATAACAGCACAATCACTGAGAGAAAACATGCTCAAAGAGCCTTCAGCGTGCATTTGNCAGAGCAGACTGGGCTCTGGTTTCAGACAGAGGGTGAAAAGAGGTGCTGCAGCACAGGCAGTATGAGAACAATAAAGAGCTTTTTGAACATTAAAGCATGGAAACATGTCACAGTAGAGACACACTTCTTAGGACACTTCTTATCTTAGGGTAATATTTGAACTTTTTTTCTTATTATTTGTTTTGTTTATAATTCAGCAAGATAAATGAGACCTTTTGACCAGAAAGTAATAAAACGTGAATGCATGTTTGTGGTAATGAATGGATAGCAACTTAGTTAGGTTTAACACTACGTCTTCAAAAGACAATATTACATTTGAATAGCAAAATATACAGGCCCCTGTTTTTGCACAATGCGAAGGTTAAGTAAACTTTTGAAAGGATGTAATATAGAGCTGGCGAACATAAAAAGCCCACCTGAGTCTAGTGATCCACCTCTGACTGCAGCAGGAGGAGAAGCTGATGGAGGGGGGGGAGGGGGGGCCAACATCTGGCTGTTTTCAGTGTAGGCTAACTGTGTGTATGTGTGTGTGTGTGTGTGTGTGTGTGTGTGTGTGTGTGTGTGTGTGTGTGTGTGTGTGTGTGTGTGTGTGTGTGTGTGTGTGAGTGAAATGAGAGAGAGAGAGAGAGAGAGAGAGAGAGAGAAGTAGTGTTCAATAGAGGTTAGTGTTTATCGATCGAGCCCTGGAGCTCCGGTCAACGAACAGACTCCCCCGAGACTGCTTCATCTCTCTCTCTGTCTCTCTCCCTCCCCCTCAACTCTTCTCCTCCCCCCTCTGTCTCCCTGTGTCTCTCCTCCCTCCCTCACAGCAGATCATTCTTACCCCTTTCATGTGTTGATTCAGCAGAGTTTCATGTATTCACACGGCCACTGAGTATTTCCATGTTTGCCGTCAAAAAGCGTTGTCCCTCTCTTACCTCATCAAAGTTATGAGACAGATCGGAAGAGTGAGGGGGGAGAGAGGGAGTCAATGAATGAACCCAGGGGAGACGAAACTAGAGAGAGCAGAGAGGCAGAGAAAAATCATCCATGAAAGGAAAGAAATGTGTGATGGGATTGATTCTGTGATCTGGTTTGTATATGATCATTTCTCATTTAAGTGTGTCTCTGCTGTGTTTTCATGTCTTCCAGGTTGGATTTATTGGAGGAAAAAGCCAGTAAGAAAATGTCCAATCACGTCTTCTCCAGCCACAGCTCTGCACAGGTCAGTCTCTCCTGGTCCATACACACACTGACAGCCACTTCCTGCTGCTAACGCTTTTGTTCTTTCCTGGATATTTCAATTAGCGGAAATACATTTGTCAATAATTAGCTTCTCCTCCCCCGGTCTGCAGATGAAAGCCCGCTGTAAGCACCGAGGTCGGCCCGGCGCCCTGAGCTCCAGGCTCGCCCGGCGGGTGACCCAGCTGAAGCAGAAGGCCCAGCGTGGTGCATCGTCTTCAGGCATGCTGCACTGCAGAGGGCCCCCCGGGGAGGAGGACGCCTCCATGAGTCACTGCAGACAAGGAATCAAGGGTGGGTACAGACGGAGCGTATATATATATATATACAAGACAAGGCAAGTTAAAGGGGCCCTGTGATGCTTTTTGGGGTTTTCCCTTTCCTGTAGTGTGTTATATTGGTGTGTGTGCATGTAAATGGTCTGCAAAGGCTGAGTTCTCTCCAGACAGAGTTTCTCTCACACACTCCCCCCNCCCCCCCCCCTTATTTACTCCCTCAACATAGTGACATGACTTTGTAACACTCACGCTCCTATTGGCTAGCGCTCCAACACATTGCACGTGATAGGCTAAGGGGTGGGACATCTCTAAGCGGTTGACCAATCACAACAGAGCCGGCCAGCTAACCAATCAGAGCAGACTGGGCTCTGGTTTCAGACAGAGGGTGAAAAGAGGTGCTGCAGTACAGTCAGTATGAGAAAAATA